GCAACACGTAAAGAATTTCCAGATATGTTTCACAAGAATTAATTTTTACTGCAAGAAGTAATACGATTACATTCAATTTTTAAGGTGCTTCTTCTTTTATAATGTACATCAGCAGATCAAATTTCCGAGGTTCATGNGACGACGTTAAATTCAGTTCGTACCTCACAGGAAACAGAACCGAACCCACGGTCCCGGTTTCCAAGCGAGAGAAGACAGTACATGCCTTAGACCTCTCGGCTACTGTGACCGGCAATATATAAGAATTCGGTTCGTACCTCACAGGAAACAGAACCGAATCCACGATCCCGGTTTCCACGCGAGAGAAGACAGTACATGCCTTAGACCGCTCGGCTACCGTGACCCGCGGTTCATGTATTCACTTTGTGTATTTTCTTTCAAAAGTAATGAAAATATCGACAGAAAAGACGACGTTAGATGTAAACCTCAAACTCTACTTGAATACGCCGCTGGAGTCAGGTGTGGAAATTTAATTTCAAGAGATCGGTCTAGCTGCCACGTCACTGCGGTCTGTATTACGACGCCTAACTGCAGTCTAGTCACGAGTTACATTATGTTCCGATGTGGGACGCAGTTTTTGAGATCGCAAATTGTAACGCGAAATCCTAGCAGAGAAAAACATGTCAGAATTACATCATGAACAACACTAGATTCTCAGATACCACGATACAAAGTAGGGCTCCCTCGGAGCTGAGAAGTAAACTTGTTTACAGACGAAACAGAGCAATGTTTCCCAGACTGGGGATACAGTTCCACGAAAGAGATTCTGTGAAGTAAATTCGTAATGGAGAATCTTGTTTCACCTAAATATACAATATGGACGAGTAGCTGGAGAGATCTACCTTTCCGCGCGCATGTTTGACTCTATAGATTACTACGTGTAATACCTACTTACCAGTGACACAGTGCATTTATTTTCTTGCTTGACTTTCAGAATTTCTACGAATGAGAATGACTGATTTGTTACTGGTCATGCAAGAAAGAGGAAAGCCAAGGCGACCCACTGTCAGCATGGCAGTTAGAAATTGGAAATATGATCCCTCTTTCATAATTGCCGTGCGTTATTTCTTGAGGTAACTCACTCGATGTAGACAAATTATTTCTGGGCGACAGGTATATCCTACAAAACTAGTCATATCCACACAAAGAGGAGGTAACTTAATATGCCGTTGGTTCTTATTATACGCTAAGGCAAAGTTATGCCTGTGCTTAAATCATTAAGCAGTATGCGATGAAAGCGTATTGTGGAGTGGATGTATAGATCCACGTTATCTTCACCTCGGCACTAGTTGGAGGTGAGTTGTCAGCTTCAGATCCTATCACCTTACTTTGGGAGAAAAGGCCCCCGGTACTTATTGGATAGGAGGGTGGATGGGCCCCAGAATTGGTCTGGACGACGTGGAACAGAGACAATTCTTGAACCTGGACTCCAAATCCGACACCTTAGTCGTCTAGCTCATAGCCAGTCTCTAATCACATTTGAGTTGACTGAGGAAAGTCACGATAAACCTCAAGTCAGCATAATGGGTGCAGCGGCTGATTTCCGAAAATAGGACATCTCAAATGAAAGTTATTTATATGGTTAAAAACAAACAATTTGATCGAGAAATTCATAAATATTTATAGGACGTGACAGCTCAGTAAAGTGAATATTTATGGACCGCAACAGCTGGGTTCAATTACAGGCTGAAATGTCTTTAAGCCACAGCGTCTAGGGCGGCCCTCAGCCCCGTTCAATAAACTATGTGATTCTTTCCCAGGAGGTGAAACGGTCAGGGCATAGAGATAACTCACTCCCTTTCGAGATATGAATGCAACAAAATATATTGGTGAGGAAATCATATAGCAAGAAATTTCTTAAGAGAACTATGTTTATATTATGAAAATACTGGAAAAAAGTGGGTCGTAGACCAGATTAAACCAACTCATGATAATGTCAAATGAGTGTCTGATGGACGTCAGGTTTGCAGAAACAAAACTGGAATTTCGTAAATAACTAACTAGCTCCTAAACTTTCCAAACGAGAAAGCCAAGCGTGACACAATTTCCCTTGCTGTAGAAAAATATACCCACCCCTGCACCACCCAAATCCAGTATCGATGGCTTGATTTCTCTAACTCAGTGCATATTCAACCAGTTCAATCAAGAAATCAAAAGAACCTGTCGTCTCACGCAATAACACTAGATATTCGAAACCGTCTTAGTCACTCCAACCCAACGCCCAACCCCCAACCCCCAACCCCCGTCACGAACCCGAACTCTTCTGAATTGCTCAACGAAATATCATATCTGCTGCGCGTACAGAAACTTTCGCTATGAAATCATATCACTGCCTTCTTTCTGGCATTTTCCACTCTCTAAACTGAAAAATACGTAGTAAGAGAAACACAGTTTCAAGTTACGTGATGTTGTTCCTACTCAAGATACCTTCATATTACCATTCAAGCTTTCAACAGTTTACGAACTCAGAGATGTGGAAAATGACAAAAATTATTGTGTGTAAATTTTACATTATACAGAAAGTTTCAGAAAATAATTGTAAACTCCTACACTCATCCTGAAAAAACAGATTTCTAGAATTAACACCAACAAGAAAAAGGTCAGCTGAATTAAATGGTAAACTAAAGTATTAAAACGTGAATCCTATTTCTAGAGAGAGTAATTCCTTAATGACTAATACGCATATCAAGCTTACGTACGATGAAACTGGACAGGGGTTTGTTACAATGAGAAGTGATGTGATTTGCGCACATTTCGGTTCCAAAGCCGCTGCAATCCAAACTGGTCTTGTGGGCACTGCATCGTAACCAGGGAAATATCAGCCAAGACTTCATACATCTGTAATTGATTCCCTACACTCTGTTACGAAAGGAATTCTGTGTTCAGGAGGTAATTATGTTGACCACCGCAGTGTAGAATGTCTTATCAGTCTTGACGGACAAATTAAAACAGCCGCAGACCTCATTCTATACAGGTTTTCGGCGAAGATATAATTCTCCGTGTAGTTTCAACATGTATCTAATCCTTTCCTGATATGTTCTACAATCCACGTGAATAAGCATGAGCATATTTAAAACGGACACTCAGTAAGTAGGACACAAACGGATGTAAAACAGCTGCAATGGACGTAATAGGCTTTCTATGTTTATCATTAAGTAGCAGCACAGTCCAGCTTCATGACAGTCTAGGTAGCGGACGTCCACGCGCATGTTCAGAGGGTGGTATCAGTAGTCAAAATGGCTACCGTGCTTGAGGGGTGTACTACCGAAAATCAGTGTTCTCTTATTCGTCTTTTTGTGGAAAAAAGGATTCAGTGCAAAGAATATTCATAAATAAATGTGGCCTGTAAAAGGCTGGAAATGTATATCGCTTAAAGAGGTTCAGAACACGGTCGAGAAATTCTATCAATGGTGTCAGAAAATTGTAGATGATGCCCGACCAGGTGGAGAAGTACCTGAGGCAACAGTCAAAAACTTCTATGCTGCGGGTAAAGTGATGGGACAAGTGTACCAATGTCGCTGGAGAATATGTCGAGAAATAAAAGTTTTTTTTTTTCCGAGTTCGAATACCACATGTTCTACGTTTTATATCCGTTTGTGACCCATTTACTGACTTTCTCTCGGGTGTGTGTGTGTGTGTGTGTGTATATTGTAGTGTGTAGAGCCGTTACTTGGTAACAACCTCGAAACATACAACGAAACCACATTCGCTATTAGGAAACAGATTATAATAAACAAATACATGCAGCCGTTTCTGGACACGCAAACAAACACGTTCCCACGGAAATGATTGGAGGAACAATAGAAAAGCTGTGCTTTCTGTTGATCCGTTCCGAAATATTATAAGGAGAAAAATTAAGCAAGAATTCAGAATTTTACGGGAGTCTCTGAGGAGATTTGTTCGGTGCAATTGAAGATTTTTCATTGTTAAGGCCAGTCACCGGGAAACGACTAGTGAAAGCAGACTGAAAAGTCTTAGAATGTGTTCTAGTGTGGCTACTGCTAAAAATTTTAACACAGGATTTAGGTCTGTTATAGGCTACCTGATTGTGGAGGATATTCACTATTATAAACAAGACCTACTCGCTCGTTCGTGACTTGCTGTATAACTTATCTTAATGCAATGTGCTAACGCTTCAGAATTCGTTGCTATGTCAACCCCGAAAGTACGCAATTTCAGACCTTTAACTTAGTGTTACCCATTTCCTTCCGCTTACGGAAAGATACAGAACCGTAAACGTAAAAAGACATTTTAGAGGATTTCCTACTAAACAATTCTCTAAGGTCTTCTTTTCTACCCTAAATATGAGATATAGACTTTTATTTAATTTCTCGGAGAAATTCCCACACCAATCCGCTTACTGACGTCTGACAAAGTCTGTGATCTTATTCTGCTACAGTCTGTCCTCGCCTTATGGACGCTCGCGTTACGGAATTTCACCCTTCCTAAATCATGGAACTGGTTGACAATATTCACGATTTCATCCATTCATTCGTCAATGGTTCTACAGACCTTTGTTTAGCCCTGGCCGATTTTTCAGTTTCGTAATCCAATACACAGTCGATAGGACTCCTTGGATGAGGGATAAGCCCGTCGCAAGGCCGGTACAGGACAGCACAAACACAGAATGAAAGCACACACAGACATTCATGCCTCGAGTGGGATTCGAATACACGACGTCAGTGTCCGAGAGATGAAGACGATCACAACTGATGATTCGGACCTTAAATTCGCGATATAAATTAAATTTTAAAATACAGAAAGCCATACAAAATATTCATTCAAAACTATTTAATTTTTTTAACAAAATATATTCATATATGCGCACGAGTCGTTGTGGATACATCATTCACGTAGGAGGTGGCTGGTAACGTGGTTGCCATTCTCAACTCAATTTTGTGAAGTGTACTACACTCATCTGAGACGTACAGAACATGTATCTGCTATTATTTATGCCTGGTAAAACTGTGTCTTTCTTACAGCTGTCAACCGAAATAATCATCTTTATTAATGACGTGGGAAACTGGGTAGAACCCAGAACCTGTTAGGACGTTATTGGAAAGAAAGAATCTTGCCCTGCGTGGAAATCGAACCCCGGCCTTCCAGTCCGTATCACGTCGCTGTACCGGCTCAGCTATCAGACTCGTTCCCTCAGGAGAAATACTGAGCTTCAGAGTTACATCAGCTGTTGGACTGCCAACAATATGTCACCAAATTTCCGAGGCGCCCTGTAACAGAATCCTACTGCGATGTGATTACACGCAACGGGAAGCTGCAAGGGGAGATTTCGCCGACAGCCAATATATTACGAAAACAGTAAAAAGATAGGACTTTTCTCTTTTCTTATATTTCGATGTCCATTACTTTGGGCAGATGCAGGTGATCAATCACAGAAATACACACACATTCACACACAAGCAGAAGGGGCACCAGATGATTCCGCAAAATCTACGCGAATCTGCAAGAAACAGCTGCACTTTGAGTGTGTCCTTCTCAACTCCTACCCTCCCATGCTTTCCTCCGTACGTCATGACATATTCAAAGTTATTATACGGCATTCAGACTTATGTTTCTTCAGGCATCTTAATCCCCATTAATGTCCAAAGTGTGATAAAACGAGGGAAAGTATCAAACATGTCGGAAACACTGCAAGTGTACAAATTTTCGACCGCAGAACGTAGAGGGTACAGACAAATAATTCCATAAATATTTGAGACAATGGTCGATTTGTAGGCTATTAGGGTCTCACAGCTTCGGTTATGAAGAGTTCTATGTTCTGGGATATAACGCCGTGTAGTTTACTGAAAATCGAGCAACGTTTCGGAGGAACATGTCGCCTCCATCTTCAGGTTAGAAGAATAAACCAAGTACAATTCAGCATGAAAACAGGTGGCAAGAATCCCAGAGGATAGAACACTTAATGGTCGATTTTTCGGAGAATATTACGCGAGACACTACATTTTAGGGTACATTTAATTAATACAGGGTTTAGTAATCAGGTAATAAAATGTAGAGAACTGTGGTGTAAAAATGTGATGTTGATAACATGGCGGCCTACAGAGCCGCTGCTAAGCGGTAACTCTGTAAACAACAACCACTTCTGAAGAATGGCTCGGTAAACACGTTCCAGCAGCAACAAATACACACGCAACAATATAGTTACCGGTGGAAAACGGCGGTCTCTACGGGGTACGTGCTGGGATGTTATAAGCAAGGGACAAAGTCAGATGTTAGGTAGTTCTACACAGGATGCTTACAAGACAGAACCTGAGTGCGTGAAGCTGAAAGATCCCCACTGTTAGGAGAATTTACCAGGCAACGGCTGATGAAGACACAGTAGGTGGCAGAAAATGCTTAGGTGGTGCTGTAGTAATTTGTGAATTGTGAAGATAAGCGGTGGGTCCGTAATTACTTGCAGTTCCGTGTCCTGTGTATGAGCGGCCAATGAATCCATTCACCAATCCAAACCCCGTCTATAGCCACACATAATACAAGTGACAATATAGTCCAATGGGTGCTTTTGTGAATACGATGAAGAACGGTAGGATTATACGAAATTAGTCAGTCAATAAATCTGAGAGCCCGAATTCTTCTCGGAATCTCTCTTCTTTAAAGACGAACTGTGAAAGATCCGAAAATTGGATTAGCAATTTTTGATCAGCAGGTTCCGTATTGTTCGTGGATATTCAGCTTTAGGAGGAACAAAATGAAACTAAACAAAACTTACAAATTCCGTTATTACCTCAATGCAAATATATTTCCCTTCCATTAAACTGACTTGAGGGTTAATGCTGTTTAAAGAAATAATAACCTTTCTTTTTAGGTCATGACAAAGATATTGTGTGGACGAAATACGTACACAGTCTGTTCGTGGTTTAGCAGGTGTTCAACTGCCTACAGCTAAAACATTCTTAACTATACGAACCAGGATTCCTGCATGTCCCAAGGAACATTTATCTCTGAGACACTAATTCACGTGTTTCGGGACGCAAGTATACCCGGTTATGAGCTTTGGAACAGAGGAACTGAACTGAGTCGAGTCTTCGAAATTGGCAGCTTCAGAATAATGGTAAGAAGGGAATTAGACGATGCAAAAAAGACTTCATATGTGATCTGAAATTACAGTGAGACTCATATAAATCCGTTGCCAGGATACGACTAGTGAAGACCGGAATCCTGGTGCCTGTGTAACAGTGAACTCGAAGTGTGTAGAATAGCGACGGCGCTGTACTGCCTTCAGTCTCGAATTGTGAATATACGTGTATAAGGTGTAATAAATCCAATAATTCAATCCAAAACCCATCTATAGCCACTCATACACGTGACAATGTTGTTCATGAAATATACCACAACTGAGTTCAACTTGGGTAACAGTATCGCCAACCCATAAGAAAAGAAATTCTGTTAAGGCGAAATTTAACTACTAATCCGAAATGTACACTGATGAAATTTGGATTAACTGTCATTGTCATATCCATGACGCATTTTATTTCCATAAAATCCGACTTAGGAGCATCAAAACCTAGAGCTCTGACCAGAGTTCGCTTATCTGACTTCATTTTTCCCATGATATTCTATTATCCGTTTCTGCACATCTCTGACATGTCTTAAAGAGCGTACAAAATTACTTCTCTGTCACTCCCGTCTGTGCCTGCGAATGAAGGAAGAGAAAAAAGTTAACTGACAAAAATTTATTCATAAAGTGGAGTAGTAATTAGAGGCAAATTAAAGTTTTCACTGTGCCCTGATAACAGCTGGTACAGCGGTAATGGAGGTACAGGTCAGAGTATTTTTAACTGTAAAACTAAATTAAGATGATAAGAAAGTTTCACGCATCGGGGCAGAAACTGATCGTCGGGTTAGAGTCTCTATAGCAATCCTGATTCACATAAGAGATCTTCATGTTCGATTCCCAGGATCAAGGTTGGCTATCTTGAAGTTGGTTTCTCATTATTTCCCTCAGTTTATAAAAGGAAGTTTTGTATAGCATTTTAAAATATTCCAAGTCGTCTTCCTTCCAAATCCTTTTCGATTTATCACCCAAGAATGTGGACTCTGGAATAGGAATAGTAGGCACATTCTGGATACGAGGTTGGAAGTGCTAGGTCTGGAAAAAGGGATGGAGGTGAAAAATATTTGTGCTCCTTCCGGGGAGCGAACTGCGGTCGTCCAGTTTCTGGCTAGCCATCTTACCGACCGTAGCGCTCCAGCTTACAGTTATACACTTTATACAAAGTAGAATTCTGTGTAACTGAATAAAGAAAGTAGTGGCAAAAGTTACAAAGTCTGATGAAAAAAATGCAGCGTTACTCTTGGGGCTAATTCACACAAAGCGGGGAAGCAACGAAACTCAATTATGTGAAACATGACGCTTTACTGCGTCTGGCTCGCTAATTTTACGAAATTCTCCATCCTTTCTCTAGATATGAGCAGTAAGTTCCATTATTCAAACACTTACATAATCCTATAATATTACTTTGCTGCTCATGGCAACTAAGGCGCTTGACTAAGAACTTTGGGTATACTTCTCAAATATTTAAAAAGCTTCCACAATAGAAGTGGGTCGATGAGGCAGCTTTCATTTAGTTGCCCAAGTTACTGCATATCGATGCCCGTCTAAGGTATGAAAAGTTTTAGCCCGTTCGAACCCTGGGATCGTGCGCTCGAATCCCACACAATTTATGAGTGTTGGCGTTTAGGTCGTAGACGGCTTTCTCTCGGGACGGACAGACGGACGGACGGACGGACGGACAGATAGATAGATAGAAAGGGGAAGTGGAAATTCAACAGCTGGTAGTGCTGCATTGTGTAACAGAAGTAATTACTAGCTCTGATTCCTTGAACGAATGCAAGAGATCCAACTGACGAGCAAGATCACTCGGCAAATGCTTCTGTATATCTGCGCAGAGTCGCATGTCGACTGGCATGTTTATGCTAACATGAGTCATACGGTAATATCACACAGTCTCTAGTGACAAGTTATTCATGGAGATGTAACCACGTGATTTCGTAACAAGAACAATGTTGGGAGGTACGAAAGCTTCGGGTGATGTTTGAGTGAGTTCTCTGTCACGCCACAGAGAACAGCAATCTCTAACAGATCAGTTTGACATGAGAATATAGAGAAGACATGAACTAATTTCCTACCCTATTCCTGATCTTACATGCAAAAACTAACTTCGCTCTGAACTCTATTCAGTCCAACATTTATTTTACACTGAAATGAATTTTTCCATTATTTGTTTCCATAATAAGTGGCACTTCAGAAACAGGCGAAACAGGAGAAACTGACAGGAGAAATTTGTTTAATGTCAATACATATATTACAGGTATTTCGAAAAAGGCCAGCATTAATGAAGCAAACTTTGAATTGAGAAGGACTCAATATTGGTATCTCGAAGCAGTGTACACTAAGAACTCACTAAGGCATAGAAAACTCTCAGTCAGAACAGCTGACCTCTGGACCCAGCTAATATTCATCATCTCCAAAAAACGGACCGGAATTTAGTTACAAGCATAAAACGACGTTTTATATCTGAAGGTAACACATGGAGCTCTATGAAACGCTGCTTACACATGCGATATTGCATTTTTATAAACTGAAAGAAACTGATCAAGATTACGGGTTTCTTCTTTATAATGCCGTGTAGTTTGGTAGGGACTTATTTTTATACAAAATACCAAATTACAGAATACCCTATATTAAAAATCACCTCAGTGAGGAATACAAATTTCACAAAAATTAATCTCGTACTGAGAAGAATAGTTTCACAGTTGCACTCTGAATGTAGCAGTTAAGTATCAATCGAAAAGCAGAAACTTTACAAGAAACGTAAGTCTTTCTTCAGTAACAGTTTTACAGCTGAGAGGAAAAACTCATTTCGGTAAAAGTGAGATCAGGCAAGAGGTGGGAAAAGAAAAGACATAACGAGGAGTTTATAACACTATCACGTGAAGGGGTACGCGTGACGAAAATAAAGCGTTCTAGATCGCATGAATGGATTTATTACAATTACTCATGAAATATCGTGAACAAACTGCAAACTGCTCTACCTGTTTGGTAACACGGTGAGCGTTGAAGAGTCTCTAGTCTCGCAAATTTAATTCTGGATTCTGCATCTCGG